AATTGCGTATAAAACACTGTTTCAAATCCTAATAAAAGCTTTCAGGCCAAAGAGGTCTCCTTAACTCAAAAAAAAAAAATAAATAAATAAATATAATCCTTATTTTTAAATATTATGTTAGATTTTATTTAAATATTTTAAATAATTAAAAAAGTAGATTAGAGACATATTTATAGTAATTATGCAGGCTCAATTAAGGGATAAAACCCTTATAGAATTTAAATTTGATTTAAACTATTATTTATATTAAGAGGATAAAAATGGTTTGGAAAATATTAAACCTTATTTGAGTATAAAATCAAATTTACCTAATTTTGAAACTTTAAATTGGCTTGAAATAATTACAGAGAATCAAATATTCAAATACTGATAAACTTAATTTACAATAAAAAATACAACCAATTATAGATTTAAGCTATAATCTTCTGTTAAAGATTTCTTCTTATATTTCTAGTTATATTACAACACAATTGCAAAAAAAAAAGAATTAAAGCTTCAATAGCTTGTATTTTATTAATAATTATTACTCAAATAGTAGAATATACAACATGTTTTGAAAGAATTTTAAAACACCACTTTCTATTGCTTTTCTATTCAATTATATCACACTTTATAGATTTATTGTTTAAGTTTATCTTTTCAATTTGCTGAAATCGTTGGTTGGTTGACAGTTGTTATTGTATTTTTTGTATCTTTTATTTTATTTGATGTTGAAAGAATTGCTGCCAAAGTAGAAAATCCTTTTGCTAATAGTTATAATCATTTCAATTTAGATTATTTTTATGGGTAATTATCTGCTAATTTTTCAATTACATAATATATATTATTTAAGTTTTATTTCATTTTCATTATTGCTAACTCATTTTTTGATCATAGAATAATTAAGCGAAAAAATCATTGATATCGTAAAATAAGAATCACCAAATAATAGTCATTGGGTATTTGGTTTTGAAAACACTTTATTTACAAATGATACTAAACAATCTAAGGAGGATGGGAACATGAATGATAAAATTCATGAATAATAGAAGTGGTGTAAAATTTAATAATATTTTATTGAGTTCAATAAAATTTGGTAAAATTATAATTTATTATCATTAATATCATTAATAAATTCATATTAATTGGATTATAACTTTTGAAACCTTTGAAATTCAAGAGCATCAATAATTTTCTGAATTAAGAAAAATCACAAACTAAGTTTATGAATATGTGAATAATAATTTTTAAATGCTGGCATGAATTAGGACCTACAAATTATTGCATTGCCAACTGATATTATTGCCCGCTCTTTGCAAAATAAAGCTGCAAATAATGCTTTTGAATTCTATGAATCTTGCATATTACTATTGTTATAACAATGATAATATGCAAAATAATTTTTGTGAGCCCTATAAATTCTGCATATTATCATTGTTTTAATAATGGTACTGTAATATGCAGAATTTATATCATTGTTTTTCTCACTATTTTGCAAAGAATAAAAATTTTTAGATTTTTGAACAAAATTTGCAGATTAAAACCTGGTTGGCTTCATATAATTCTGGTTATGTTACAGAATTTTGCAGAATTATCTTTTATTATAGATAGAATTGGAGCCACCACCAATCGATGTAATAATCCTGATCTCATTTTATTTTGATGTATATGTGAAATGTAAACAGTCGACACTCTTTATAATGACCTTTTTTGTAATGAACCCATTTTATAATGAACTTTTCTTTAAAATATTTATTAGATTTCGGTATAGGAACGTAGTAAGTTACGCATATAAAAAATTTTACCATAGGAAACTATCAGTTCATTATAAGAAAGTTAACTATGCATGATTTTTTATCTTTTCCATTCGGTTGTTATCCATATTTCGACAAAAACAAAGGTAGTCTCATATATAGAAATATAAGAAAACATGATTACAACTCACTCACGTTATAGTGAAGTCCTCAGGCTGTGGAGACCTTCATACCAACTCATATCGAGAGAATATTAGACACATTCAGCTCTTACCATACCGAACTGATGTTCCTGGGAAAAAAAAGTTGTTGTAGAAAATTTCTACGTCTTCCTGATGATGATGATCAGAATAAGGGACCCATAAATCCATTGGCACTCATTGACAAGTCAAAAAATAAAAATAAAAAATAAAAATAAAAGGGTGTTATAAAAAAAAATTAATTGACATGAAAAGTCTTGAATGTGAAGATATCTTTCTTAGTATTAAATACTAATGTTATTCTTGATAGACCGACGAATATAAGCACACGTTTTATAAACCTGGTCATTCGTCTTTGGATTGCCGAGCAGCTGTGGTGTCGACAGAGTATACTTTCCCCAGGGTTTCCAGTCTGGCTGACGGTGGTGGGACTTCCTATGACCAACAGGCTCAATGCTCTGTTCAAACTGAAAGAAATTAGTCGGGTCCCAGTGAGTCTTGACTTTCTGGAGCCGGGGATAATTATCCGCATAATACGCTTCTTGCCAGTTCTCCACTGTGGAGTCAATGTAATTGATATACGCTGCTTTTCCCTGAATGGCGTGCGGAAGCAGCAGTGCCTTGGCACGATCCACGAACTCAAACATTTTCTTGTGCATGGCGGGATCGACCCACTGCGCTTTTATAGTGGCAGCATAGACGCCGTCACGCCAGGGGAAAGCCGTTTCTTCAGGCTTAAACTTTGTCGTAGCACCTCCGATATGGTCCCATAAGATATGGCAGCCGCTCACGGAATTTGGTTCGAACATTTTTGCTTCCTCCATTAATTTCACGATGATATTAGTCACCTCGCTTGTGATTGCACCTTCGGCAAAAATGAATGATCCATGGTGGTAGTATACCTGTGAAAAAACTTCAAACGAAGCATCTTTAACTTCCCAATCAGTCCAATGCATGGCTTTCAAGTCGTTTCCAGGATTGAATTTCAATAATGGTGCAAGATCATTGAGGCATTGATCCATAGTGCCATTATAGATTATCGTCAATTGCCCTAGTAGCTGGTTGCTGTCATTGTACCGCCAGATAGCGTCGGCGCATAACTCATTTGGCCAAGTAGTAGTATTCCAGACCTCCATCATAGCCTTAAAAGACTCCTCTTGATCTGGAAGATTCCAAGTGAGATCTCCACATACAACAATGCCGTTAGGGTCTCTGAGTTTATGCAACTTAGCTTTGATGCCAATTGTGACGCCGAAATTACCGCCCCCGCCGCCACGAATTGCCCAGAATAGGTCACGTTTAGCAGGGTCAACGTCCTCATGAGTGACTGTAACCTTCTCACCATTTGCAGTGATAATAGTCATTTCCAAAAGATTGTCAATACCCAGTCCATAGCTGCGAGAGAAAGGGCTGAGACCAGCACCCAACAAAAATGCGCTCGCTCCAACTGTTGGACATTGGCCACCCATAATTATAAGGCCTTGATCCTTTTCTTTCAAAAGACTGTAAGCATCTTGCCAAACTGCCCCTCCTTGGATACTAACGGTCATATTCTTATGGTCAATTGATACCTTGTTCATAGAACTAATGTCTAGAACGATGCCACCATTGTTCAGACAATAACCAGCATACGAATGACCTCCACTTTTAACAGTCAATTTGAGGCCATGCTTCTGTGCAAACAAGACCGTTGCTATGACATCTTCTTCGGTTACAGCTTGGACTATTGCAGAAGGTGTCTTGAAGCGGTAGAGTAGGTTTCCAATAAAGTTTGCCTCTTCATATGCCTTCGAGCCAGGAAAAAGGACCGATGCCGTGGGCAGTTCTTCTTCGAGAATGAAAAACTTTTTTTTATTATTTACAAGTTGCTCACTATAGTCGAACTCCATAAGTAAAAATTTTTGCTCAGGATAAAGTTTGATGAAGTGGAAGTATTGGAAATAAACAGATATTATTAACTGTAGATTTAAAGTTTGGTGTCACTTAACAGAATAGTTAAACTTTCGTGGAGAATAAAAATGTACTTTTTTGGTAATATTAGTTGGGATTATAAGTTTCCCAATATGGCATTGAAGGACAATGTCATTGAGGAAGACGATGCAGATCATATGATGTCTCTCAATGATATTTGTAAATAAATAGCTGCGAGACGTTGTCACGCAAAACCAGGATCGGAAGTATGATATCAAAATTTACAAATAAGTGAAATGAGTACTGATTAACTAAAGATATGTAAAAATTACAATACCGAGTGATTATTGGAATAATTCATATCCAATAAAAGAAAAAAAGTGAAAGAATTTAATACTACTAAATCATTATACGTAAACTCCATACTTGTCAATTATTTATGCAACTTGTAAATGCAAATAATTTTATATGATCCTAACTAGCCGTGATGTAAAATTTGGCAGTCATAAACTAATTTAAATTTTCTTTATACTCACAAGACTAATACGAATAAAATGAATTAGAGAGTAAATATGGGCTAGGTGCTGGAAAAACCAACGAAATTGCCAATTTTTTCAAAAAAATTTTTTGCATAAATCAATTTAGAATAAAATTAGGATCATTTTTCATTTAATATACAAAAGTAGTTGTATTAATAAAAGTTTGCGTTTTTTTATGATTTGTTATAAGATTTGTAACATAAAAATTGATTTTCTGAAGTTTTTTTTTTTGTCAAATTTGTCCCTTTTCATTAGTCGCTTATTTTAATGAAGTTTGCTATTTATCACCACTGGTGATCATCACCAGTGTTGGTATATCTCAAAAATGTACTAAGTAAACAGGGTCAGGTACTCTAAATAAAAATATTCAGAACCCCTAAAACCTCGCGAAAACTATATTATGGGTGCCGTCAAGGGAAAACCTACAATCGGGCTTTCAAGTATATTTTGTGTACAGTTGGTTATCTGTGTGCCGTATATGGTAAATCTATCATCGGACATAGATTTACCATGGACGGCACAAAGATAACCAACTGTACACGAAATATACTTGAAAGCCCGATTGTAGATTTTCCCTTGACGGCACCCATATAAAAAAGATCCTCTCTAATTCCTAACTCTAACCCTAGAAATTCTTAGGACTGATGATGTAGTAATTTTCTATTTTAAATATTTATATTTACCGATTGAAATAAAAGTGATTACTCATGAATAACTTATTTTAAATACAGTCAACTCTCTCTAAGTGCAACCCCTCTAAATGCAACTTCTCTCTAAATGCAACTTTAACTTCGGGCCCAAGTATATGTTTGGTACACGTTTTGTCTATATAAATGCAATTTTCTTAATTATTGTCTAAATGCAAGTTGCTAAAAGTCCGGTCACAATGAATTGCACTTAGAGAGAGTTGACTGTACTTAGATTAATAAATTCCCTATGTGATAATTGATTTTACATAGTTTTGACAATGAATATAAAGTGTGAAGTACACATGAAAATGATAATATCACAGATTTTTGACGTCTTAATAGGGTGTTTAATATGCTAATTAATCAAATCAAAATATGTTATCTATCAATTCTGGGTTTGTAGGTTTTAACGTTTTGATTGGATCAGATCCGAAAATGTGATCTGAAACGTGATCTAAGTGGGAAGAAAATAAATTACGACATTTGTTATGCGGATAACCAAAAAGACATAAAATTACGACATTTAACCATAATCGATATCATAATTGGAAATTAATTAATTATGTTACAGTACATATATATGTAGTATGATGTAAGATTTGGTTTAAAATGCAATCAGAAATATCATAATGATCGTATCCGAATTCCAAAATTGTGGCCTTATGAAAGCCTTGCTGACCCGTTACTCAGAGCTAAAAATGAATTATAGAAATGTGAACGATCCACCCTGGGAGTTTTGAATTTTTGATTTATATTTGCGCATTATGTGAACTTAAATATCTTTCCCATTCTTAACCGAGATATGGATAATGTTAATAACATGCAAATGTGAACTATACACCGTATATTACTAGAATAGTAAGTTCAGTAAAGGAATTTTTTACAGTAATTCATGATGGAATCACGAAAATTCCAATAAAAAAATTAACTTGACCTTGATTACATACTTTTCTCACTAAAAAGCGAATTCTTTAACAAGTTCTTTTACAGTAACTCATGATGGAAATTATTATAATTCAAATGCGAACTAATTTACCATATATGATTACCCGTAAAATTTTTATGACGATCTTATTACGACATTGACAAATTAATCATAATATGAATGAAATGAGAATTTATATAACAAGCTCATATGAATGTTATCAGGGAAACTGAACCACTTAATTACGAATTATGACAAATGATATTTTAAACAGCAATTGTTGAATATCTTATTTCAAAATTTCCCACACACAGATCATGGTTTTGGGTATCACCAATCAAAAAACGTTTAAAACGAAACTATTACTGTGACTTGTAATTTTCTCATGATCACTACATATGCATTATAAAGTAGTTATAACATATGATATTTCTTTAATTTCTACTAAAATAGGAAAAAATATAGCGCACCATGTGATCATACTGGTATAATTTATAATTTGAATTAGTTATAATTTTTAATTAGAATAAATTATAATTTGTAATCTGAATTAGTTATAATTTTTAATTAGAGTTACTTATAATTTTTAACTAGAATTAGTTATAATTATTTATTAGAATTAGTTATAATTTCTGCTATAGAGCAACATGTTTTAAGTATGTTGAAAATTTGGCAGTACAAAAATGCTTCCTTGAAAAGTATTGTGCAAGAACATATTGACAGAGTAGTGTATATAAAAAAAACAGGGTTAAATTAGAATTAGTAAACTTGGAACACTAGACACAATTAGTGGTGCATAATTTTTATTATGAATATTTGCTATTATGCAATGCTTTTTATTTCATTTCAATTTAACTAGTGAGTATAAATGTTATTAATCAATAAATTCATTTAAATATGCTATTCTATTTAGGAATTTATTAATTTTTATTAATATAGTAAATTACTAAATAAAATAGATGCACTTCATGCATCCATCATACTAGTTGAAAACATAAAATAATATGAGTATAAAATACTGCTGATAATAAACATTTAAAGTTTAATAAATTCATAGAATAGTAAAAATCAAATGATTAGTTTTAACCCATTGAATTGAGGATAAAATTTTAAACTAGAGAAAAATAAATGAATAATTAATAAATTTTGATGATATTAATAATCAAAGTACAATACATACTCATCAGTTGCTAATATTTATATATATGAAATTAACATTGAAATTTTTTCAAAAAGCAATAATATTGGATAATATAATAAAATAAATACCGGCTATTTATTTGTTTAAACTAATAAGCAAATAAATAAAAAATTAACAATAAATTTATTCAAAAAGCAATGATACGTATTGGATAATATAATAAAAATATACCAACTATTTATTTTTTAAAACGAATAAATGAATAATAAAAGATTAATATTAAAGTTATTTCAAAAGATAATTAAATAATATGACAGAATAAAATACTTACGTTCTATTTATCATATTAGTAAATTAAGTAGATAAACAGAAGATTAAGTTAAAAAATAACGGCATTGGAAAACAGAAATAAAATAACTTACCATCTATTCATATTTTTATATGAATAAGTGAATAGATAAAAGATTAGCATTAAAATTATTTTAAAAGATAATTATATTAAATAACAGAAAAATTACTTACTTGCTATTTATTTTAAATAAGTAAGTGAATAAACAAAAGATTAGCATTAAAATAAGATAACAGAATAAATAACTTACAGTCTGTTATTATTTAGATAAATAAGTGTATAAATAAAAGATTAGCATCAAAATTGGACGTCAGAATAAAATACTTACAGACTATTAATCATTTCGGAACAATTAGTGAAGCAAGGATTAAATTAAAAAATTTCGAACATTAATAGTATTGGAGGGGAGGGACACTTAAAGAACTTGAGCCCAGTGATCATCACATCATGTGAAATCATGGATAGCGTCATTTGTTTACTAGCACTAATAGATTTGGCCTAAATTATACTATCACCTAACTCTAACACTAACTCTAACTTAGGCCAAGTATGATGTGAAGATAACAAAGATATCAGTGGTTTCACTCTTCTTGAAACTGCCCGTATTGGATAACAGAAATAAAATAACTTACCAACTATTTATATTTTAAAAAAAATGAATAAATAAAAAATTGCATTGAAATTATTTTAAAAGATAATTATATTGGATAACAGAATAAAATACATACCAACTATTCATTATTTTAAATAAAGTGAATAAATGGAAGATTAATATTAAAATCATTTCAAAAGATAATTATATTGGATAACGGAATAAAATACATGCCAACTATTCATCGTTTTAAAACAAATAGTGAATAAATAAAAAAATTGTTTCAAAAGACACAGCATATTGGGTGACAGAATAAAATAACTTACGGTCCTCTATTTATTATTTTTAAAAAATAAATATATAAACTGAGGGTTAAAAATTTTAAAAGAATAACAGTAATGGGTAGCAAAATAAAGTAAAATAACTTACCTTCTACTCATTATTTTAAATAAAAAAAGTGTATAAATGAAATATTAGTATCGAAATTAATTTGAAAAATAATTAAATTATTTTGGATAACAGAATAAATAACTTACTCGCTATTATTATTTTAGATAAGTGCATATAAATAAAAGATTAGTATTGAAATGATTAAAAGATAATCATATGGGATACCAAAATAAAATAATTTACTATTAGGGATGGAAGCGGCTCAAAATTGAGCGGGCTTTTAAGCCAAGCCATCCAAGTTAGCTAGAACCAGCTCGGAGCCGAAGTGACAAAATCGAACTAAATCTAAACAC